GGGAAAGAGAGAGCATCAAGGGTTAAAAAGAGGTTTTCATTTCTACCACATGCCCTATTGTGTGAACATATGCATAAGTCTATTGAAAGTTTTCAGAAGATGGGCAGGCCACCAGTTGCTGGTCTCCTGCAGTTCCAGTAGACATCTGTTGCCCTAGAGCATTAACCAATCTGTTCAAAAGGACATCTTCCTTTGTTAGCTAGAGGGATGCAGACAACAGCACTCACTGAAATACAATGGTAATTAAATACGCAGAGACTACAGCAGTAGGTATTTATTACATATTCATTATTTTATTTTCATTGTTCTCTTAGTATTACCATTTGGGTAACAACCAAAACCCACTTTATGGCATTGTAGATTTACATTTCAAACAAATAAATTGATTTAACAAGTTTATGGTCTAATATTCCTGATTAATATGAAGTTCTTTAGAATATAAAACAAATTATGTTTACTGGATCTGAGATGGATTACCCAAGTCATCTAATGAGAACTTTCAGAAAATCTCACTAAACAGGGAATTTGTATGTATGCAACAAATTTCTAGTAAATAACCATTATGTCCTTAACCTGCTAATGTAAAGTTTCTTTTTAGCAATTAAAACAATTAATACTTCATCATCATCTATAAAATTAGCATGAAAATTTAGTTCTTTTTCAACGAACAGTATTATTTGATTTTTAACGTATTAGGCCTTTAGCAAGGAAAATTGTTTAAGTTTCTCTACACTATCTGGAGAGAATTCATAGCTTTTAAGTGTAGAAATCTTTTTTTCAGACTATTGTATTTTTGCTTAATATTTTTGTGTTCATGAATATAGTATGTATAGTATATACTATGTAAAGGCCAATTATAATGGATTCCTGATATAAAGTTTAAAAGTTAAGCCATATTTCTTGCAGTTTTTTAATAACTATCAGTATAAACTCTTACCTACTTTGTGTGTGAAACTTTGTCTATGTGCTTCTACATGAAATGAAGAAAATTACCTTTATTAGCTAATAGCTGATTAACTTAAAGGTGATTTATGTGCACCTGCAATTAAGTAATTACAAAACTGAAAAGTCTAATAATTTCAAAATTAAAGAGAAAAAATTTCTACCTTATGTGTAATAATAAATTTTATGATGTAATTAGTGTCTTTGCTATCTTTTTGTTTAAAAATTATATAGATCATTTTTAAGGCATTGAACAAAAGATCTTATATCATTCTTTGTCCTAAGATATCTTATAATTCCTTGTAAGTTTTACACATTACATTAACAAGTACAATAGCATATGAAAATCTTTTATCAGTTTTTAAATCTCAGCATTTAATTTTTTATTGAATTATTTCAAGATATTGCCAAATTCTTTTTTTTAAGTGCCATATTAAGTTAGGGCAATCATTTCCTAATTACATGTGGGTAAGGAAGTATTTTAGAGACTAAAGTTTTTAAAAAAACAAATCTTTACCATTTGGGCCAATACAAATCAGGTTCTTCAAATTTGTATTATGAAGTGGAGAAGATATACGCAGTTTACAGACCTGGTTATTGAACTTATTTGCCCTTATGTGTACTATGTTATATTTAGTCTGTTGATTTATAGGAACTAAAAATTATTTTATTGCTTGTTTAATAATAAATGACATCGAATAACTTTCTCTGAGGTAACCAGTGAAATCTGGGAGATAAAGAGGAGGCTGTCAGTATGAAAAAAAGTTAAATCAGAATCTTTGGAAAAAAAATTACTTTGCAACAAAATTAGATGTTAATTTTTAAGTAGATTAAATCAAGCTTACATTTATCCTTAGTATTAAAAATCATATTAGTCCAATTATTCCAGACTTTTTGTTTAAATAGTAAATATAAATTACACGAATTATCAGAAGGTGAAGGTGTGTGGCAGTCACTAAATACATTCATGTACAGAAGGCTTTTATCTGGCCTAACATAAAAAGCAAACAACAAATAATCCTATTTTTCTCTCTATTTTATGATTATAGCCATATAAAAACTTATAGCATACTAACACAGTGTCATCTATACTTTTTTTATACTTGACTGAAGGTGATATAAAAAGATTTAAATGCCTTTTTAGGGTAGATAATTTTCAGTTTAAAAACTTACGGTATTTGGTTTTGTTTCTTTGAAAAATGAGAGAATTAACAATTTCACTTATGCTTTAAACATAACATTTCATTCTAATTTTCTGCACTGGCTCTATTTTTCATAAAGTATTTATCTTATTTGAAATCATCCAAAAGAAAAAATTACAGCTCAATATTAAAATAATATTTCATAGTTCAACTGAGGGATTTGGTCTGTGAGTTATTATCTTGAATGATCTCACAACAACACTTATGCAAAACCCAAACTTTTCAGGGGAGATCAAAAATGTTGCCCATTAAATACACTTCCTGCAGTCAGAGCAGATTGTGGGGTTTACAGAACAATGATGTCGGAGCTTCCAGATTGGTTTGGCAGCTGCATTGTTCTCAGAGGGTAAACCAGAGGCACTTAAGTCCCAGTCTCTTTTATAGGCTTTTGTTCATACCAGATTATTCTTTCACTGTGCTAGCATTCATGATGGCATGTTAAAAGAGTGCAGCTTAGCAACGAGCTTCTGGTTGCTAGGCAGCCCAGCTTCCAATAGGCTTTCCTTGTTTAAGATACTTTTGGTGGGAGCTCTGTGAAGGCCACAGTGCAGATTTTCCTTTTAACTGTATCCTTTTATTAAGAGGCCGTTATGATTTGTTACTTGCGTTTTGGTGTCAGTATATTACAGTAGTTAATAAATCGCTGAGTAAGAAGATTTGCTTTCAAAATCCCTTTAATTCTAAATAATTGGGCTCATGCATATCCATATTAATAGAAAAAATTGAAATAGATACAGCTTCATAATAGAGCAGATGTATCTAGAGCCCTTCAAAGGAATATTTCTTTTTATCAGTTGTGCAATCAGGAGCCAGGAGAGTTTGATGTTTTTTTTAAAACTGATGAATGCTACATTAGTAGAACAATGATATTAAAGTTATCTGTCTTCTCAAGGGATAAAACCTGAAGAAACTCCTGCAGAAGTGTGTAGGAGTTCTACCCTGAAGGAATTTTAAGTATTGTATCAAGCTAAAGATTTCTGTGTTCTCTTCTCTAGTATTTACCATAATTAATATAATTTATTTCATTATGTAAAAATATTTTACTGTCTAATAAGTTCACCAAGTATGCATTCAAATGTATCACTTAGAAAATCACTAAGCATTTTCTCTTAACATTTATATAATAGCTCCTTTCTAGTGTAAATAACATTCTGAAGAGCTTTAGAATGATATGTTTTTCCAATTTTCTTTTTTAGGTTATTTTAATAGATGTTTTATGACAGTCTCAAATTCATCTACCACTGGCTTACTAATATTATTAGTAATGGAATTGCCTTAATAAGTAAACTACCAATGTGAATATAGTCCTTTAAAATAAAGCACAAGAGAAAATAATATTTTGCTAACCTGTTCCTAGCAGAGAAAGAACAGTTATTACCAATAGATTTTAAGGAAATAGAAAAACAGCAAAAGTATTTTAAAGAGTAAAAGCATTCCTGTAAGGGGAAAGCAGGAGAAAAAAATGACTTTTTATCCAAATGCAGAAAATGGTTGGTTAATTATCTGATATAGAAATATTTTCTGCCATAAAATTCAAGAAATTAAGATAACATTATTCAGTGTACCTAATTATTGCTGCTAATTTTATATGAAGTATTTTTTTTCTGTACTTCTATAAATGTGCATAGAATAAGAAAACATTTCCTTGCCCCCTGGAATGAAATAGACAGTAGTATCCCCGGCAATAAGGGTAGTGTAACATTAAAAATTGTATTCTGTTACCATATTTAATATTCACAAAATAAAGATTATTAGGGCCAAACTATTCATTTCTTAAAAGGAATGTAATTCACTTTGTAGTTATTTAATTCCTTGTTGCCTGTTGTTGAATATGTGCTCTTTGAACACAGTACTAGAATTATTTTTGAAATGTATTTAGATTGTTAAGCTTGACCCAAATTAATGATAGTTTTACAATTATCACTTAATTTTTCCTTCCTTTCCATATGGCTTTCTCTTTAAAAGGATTTTTACAGATTTTTATGAATTCTTTTAGAGAAAATGTCCATAGCCTGTCATAGCATATCGAAAACATGCTTTTTTTTGATCATGTTCTATGTGTCAGTCTAGAAACATAGACTTTTAACTGTGGAGAAATGGCTTCCGTCAAGATTGAGAAGCAGCATGATACAGTGGGAAGAGTATGGGTTTTGGAGACAAAACTGAGTAAAAAAAATCCAGTTTCGCTATTTATTTACTTTGTTGCCTTGGAGGGATTACATGGCCTTTCCAGTTCCTAACTTCATCTGGAAAACAGTACAGTACTGTCTTGGCAAGGGTGTTGAGGGAGGGACGAGGATGTAGACAAACACCAAATAGGTAATCAGTAGTTTGGTCCTTCTTTCCAACTTGTTTATTAAAACAAGTGAAACAGTAAATATGAAATTCTAAATATTTTCTCTTTTTCTCTAGGAATACGGGGTGCTTTGTGTTCAGGAATATAGAACAAACAGCAGCAAAGTGGAGTCAGGTGCACGTAACAGCTTCATGGGCTTGAAGGATCAGCCGGGGCATGACCTAGGCCACCTTTACGTGGAGAACACTGACCCACATTTAAGTATATCTGCACCTTGGCCAATGGTAGAAAAACCAACAATGGATAAAGTTAATTCCGGGAAGGAAGAACAAGAGGTGTCTGAAGAGAATGCGAGCTCTGGTGACTCCGAAGAAAGCACAAATTCTGATAATGAATCAGAACAGTTGAGTAGCATTTCAGTAGAGCCATGCTTATTAACCAAGACTCACAGACAGCTACGTAGGTCTCCCTGTTTAGAGCCTCACAGAGTCAAAGACAGTGAAAGTTTGCAAGACTTTAAACCCGAAGAGTCCCAGACTATATCCAAGGAAGTGAAGAAACCCCCGGATGTAGTGCGAGAATACCAAACAAAACTAGAGTTTGCACTTAAGTTAGGTTATTCTGAAGAACAGATTCAGCTCGTGCTAAACAAACTTGGTACCGATGCTTTAATCAATGATATTTTGGGAGAACTTGTCAAACTTGGAAATAAAAGCGAGGCTGAACAAACGGTTAGTACAATTAACAGTATAATGCGGGAAACGTCTTCCCTGGAATCCCAGCGGTCTGAATCTCCAATGCAAGAGATTGTAACAGATGATGGAGAAAATCTGAGACCAGTAGTAATCGATGGCAGCAATGTGGCAATGAGGTAAGTGGGGAAGATCTTCAGTGACTATTACGAGTCTTTAAAAGATATTTATAATTTTGTGACTGTTTCTCTTCTAAGAGTGGTTAAAGTCTAGATTATTCTGCATCCTAACTTTAACTTACATGTTTCTAATTTTGTCTTTTAGTTTTTGTCTCCCTATTTCCAGGGCAGTCAGGCATTCTCACCCCATTTGTCACTAAATAGAGACCCACCCCCTTTCCCCAGATATGTCCCTCCCCCCCAATATGGCTATGTTACCATGGTATAAAAGTTAGCATATGTTCTTGATTTCATGTTAGCCACTAGTTTTAAATGAAGAACTTGAGTATAGTAATATTCAACAGTTTTGGAATTTAGTCAGATAAATTGTTTTTACATGAAGTCAAATAACCATAGGGGAAAACCACACTTCTTTTAGAAAATAAACTTTTTAACATTTGAGAATAAATCAAAACTATAGTTTAACATTTTTGTTTCATCGAAGAACTATAATTCAAAAATAATTCTTTAGGAACTGGGGAGAAAAAAACAAAACTTCTAATGAAATATTTTTTATGTATTTTGATAGTTGAAATTTAAAGTGCATTTAAATTCAATTAGTATTATAGAGTTAACTGCCCACAATATTCAGCACACTGTAAGAATACAAAGATACATAAGCCTTCATTTCTTTCAGAGAGCTTAGAATTTCACATATTGTTTCTCAAAAGGTGATCTGAAGATACCTAACACAGAATCATCTGGGGAACTTGTTTAAAATCCACATTGTAGAGCAGTGCTATTCAATGAATAATATAATGTGTGGCACATATGTCATTTTAAATTTTCTGGTACCTACATTAAAAAGTTAAAAAGGTAAAATTAATGTGAGTAATATCTTTTGTTTAGCCTAATATAACTAATGGGTCATTATTAATGAGATATTTTGCATTATTCCTTTCATATTAAGTCTTCAAATTGGACATCTTACACTTACAGTACATCTAAATTCAGACTAGCCATACTAGCCCTCCCAGAGGCCACATGCAGCTAGTGGCTACCATATTGGACAGGATAGTTCTAGAGATCTATGAAGTCCATACCCCAGACCTACCAAGTCCACATGAAGGTACAGCCCAGGCATCCCCTTTTGTAACAATTATCCCTGCTAATAATGATGCATACCAGAATTTGAGAACCACTGCTTTAGTAGGTGATAACAAGTACTTCTACATAGGGTGTGCAAAGGACGTACTTGTCTTCAAAATAATCTTTTCAGGTGGAAGCAGTATTATCTTGCTTTATAAGCAAATGAGACTTGTAGGATTTAAATTATTTGCCCAAGGTAAAACACAGTTCAAACCCAGTTATATTAGACTTCAAAGTCTCTACACTTTTCATCATCTAAAGAAAAAAAGCAAGTTGAAAAGATTCAAGTCATTGAATGCCAGGGTAGAGAATTTAAGCTTGGCTCTAATCCAAAGGTAATTGAAGAGTTTTGAGGAGGGGAATGTCAAGAGTAGAGTTATGCCTTATCCAATAATCTGACAGTGATGTTTAAAGTGGATTATAGGAGATCAATTTGGATGCAAACAACCCTTTTAATGGAGTAAAGAGGGCCTTAAAAATTATAGAGGTATGAAGTATTCATATGGCCTTGAGAATTCCTTCAGTAAATTAACTTCGATTGTTTAATCTTTTCCAAACTTAGCCGCATACTGGTTTTTTCTCATTATAATCCAAAATTAGTGAATAATTACCCTAGCAGAGTGATAATATGGGGAGCCAAAGTGCCATGAATTCACCAAGGAAGAGACTAATGAGGGATGGTGTAATAGGTCCTAGCAGAACACCTACAACCATAGCCATATATCAAAATCACCAGAAGGGTTCTTAAAAAACACATCTTCCAGAGCTCTACTCTTGGAAAATCTGATTCAGTGGTGCTAGGACAGAACCAAAATAATCATTTTTTTAAGTGCCAAGGTATTTCTGATGCAGAGCCTATGTTGAGAACTAGTCAAGATGAAAAGTGTGTTTATCTGTATGTCGGGAGGTAGAAGAAACTGATGATCCAGAGAAAGAGTAGTGGGAAAAACACTAGTGTTAAAAAAAAAAAAAAGTATAATGCTGGAAGAACCAAGAGACATACAAATGTCATCAAACTCAAAGAAAAAGAGGCTTTAAGGAGAAAATAGCCTATGGGTTGTGCTGAAAAAAGATCAGAGGATATAAGAGGTCATTGTCTTCAAGAATGCCATATGGTATTAAGGATAGAAGCCGGACTACAGGATGCCAAGAAAAGGAATAGAGCTAGACTGTTATTCTAGAAAACTGACAAGAGAAAAGGAAGAAAGAGGAAGATGAAGATGAAAGGATTTTGTTTCATTTGGCTTTTAAGAATGAAACTATGTAAGCTGAAGGACTGGAGATAGTCTCCACAGGAGAGGAACAGAGCATGTGAGTTTAATTTTTGAAGCAAAGTTCTGAAAGAAGAGACAGGAAAGACACAAGTGGACAGTTTGGCACTGGAGGTAAATGCAAGCCTTTGAGGGAAAAGAGAGCATGAGATTTATAAAACTTGGAGCCTACAGAAATTAATTTTTAAGATGGACATTATTTAGATAAATAATGTCACAGTTGGGTCAGCCTGACATCATTTCACATGACCGAAACCCAGTTCTCGAAGGAAATGAACAATAGTACTTTATAACGGAAAATTTACATAAAACTGTTGTTCATCCCACATGGTGAGAATTATCCACAGGAAAACTTTAATATAATAATGGGTGGTGTATTTAAGGCATTTCAAATAATCTATTCTTATATAGCTATGAAAACAAACTTGGACCCCTACACTATTTTGGCACCATCCTATTTCCCTTGCTTTAAAGATGGGACAATGCAGATTCAGTTCTTCTCTCCATCATATCTTTTAATCTGACCCTTAATTGAAGTATTTCAGGCATTTCAAATAGAACAAGTTGACAGGAAATTTTTATTATAGCAGCATTATACTGTCAGTCACAATGAAAGGTTGTACCACATCCATAACTTTGAAAGTACCAGAACTCATGAAAATTCATAATAAATTTTTATATTCTATTTATAAGACCTACATAAAGTAGCAAAGTCATTTAAAAATGCCTATTTCAAATACAGAGTCTTAATTTAACAGAAATGCAGAGAGATTTCACCCATTTCATGTTACATGAAATATGATACACTTTTACTTTTGAGATTAATTTCCTACTTATTATATAAAAGCTTTTTCTAGATTTATAAGTGTATACATATAATCATAAACTATAAGTAAATGTGGAAGTGGGTTAAGAATAGTGTACTATTTTATTTCCTTTCTGATCTCTCAGGCAGGTCTATTCCCTATTAAGATTAAGATGAATACAGTTTAGTTTTATTTAAATGCTAGCCATGAAACTGATACCACAAAATTGATAACACTTTCTCCGGCTCTTAAATGATCAAGCAAGTAAAGTGTGTGGAGGGAAGTTATTGAAGCATAGGAAATGATGTGTGGGAATTGCACAAAGCTATAAAAATAGATGGGAAGTGAAAAATGAGGTTTATTTGATAAGAAGACACTAAGACAGATCTTAAAGAGCATTTTATGCCATATAAAAAAGTCAATCTCTATGTATAGGACCACCAGGTCACAATATAAGATAAGCCTAACATTGTAAGTGATAGACGCAAACCATTTCATTACCAGTTGATTAAGTGGCCTCATAGTGGTCCTTTTTGCAGTTAAAATTGGCAAGTAACTTTTTCAGCTTTTCCTTTCCCAAATACTTTTTTTATGATTCTATCAGTGACTTACGCCTCTGTGATTTTTACTTCTTTTTTCATCTGAATGGGTTGGTGCCCCTTTGATTCCTAAAATTCCTTGATTTCTTCAGTGTACTTTCATGACCTAATCACTTGACTTCATTAAAATCAACTATATCTTTATATTCTTAGCTTCTACCTAATATTATAGAAAATAAGGAAAAATACAGAGCCTCATCATTACCTCTACAGTGTGTTGTAGCACAAATCCTTCTGTCGAGGAGAACAGAAGCTGGACATACCAGTTTTGTTTTGTTTTTTTTTATATAAACAAACTATTGTAAAACTCCACCGCCACCACTCATCTCTGCCACGACCCCCCCATTATGAGCCTTCTACCTTGGTCATAGAACCCAGGTTTCTGGCATAGATTGGATCTCCTGACTAGTAGGTAGGCCTTATTGGTGAATGTGCAGAGTATTAGGACAAATATTTCTTTGCTAATAATCTCAGGTGGACCACTTTTAGCCCATAGTTTTCATCGCCTCTGTCTTAGTGATACAGAACCACCAAAAGAATTTAATCAAGGGAAAAGTGACATATCATTTGCCTTTAAGAAAGATCACTGCAGAGAAATTTAGAGGATTTGAGCACTAAGACTAGAGACAAGGAGACCTACTTATATTTGAAAATATATGCAAAGGTTAAATTGTAGGCAACTCCTGGATAAAAAGATGAAATAAGAATGTCATTGCTTTCCAATCAAATGGTATAGAGTAGAGAAATAAAGCAACCATTTGCTTGACAATTTAAAGCCCCCCCTGCCCCACCTCGAAAAAAGGATCCTGTTAGAAACCAGCTGGTGTTAGTACAAATCCACATGTTACCTGGGATATGGAAAAGCACTCCAGGTCAATCTTTTAAGTCATTTTTCTTAAAGTTTGAACAGAAATCAGATATAGATTTTAAAATCAGAATATAAACAGAAAAAATAAGTTGTGATAACCTTCCTTTCTATCAAGAACGGTGTACTAAGCCCATGAATTTATATAATAGAACCAGTTTAGCAGTCTGTATAAACAGGATTTAAGCTTCTGATTAATCTTTTAAAAAGCACAAAGACTTTGATGATTCTAATCTGGTCTGTGAAGTTATATGAAATCGAGACCTCTTTTCAATGTAAATTTGAATATTGAAGACCATTTTGCCTAGGCTCTAAAATTTGCCTACAGTTG